AAGAAGTGAAAAAAATTTTTCTACAGCCTAGCATGGTGGCTCATACCTATAATCCTGGTGACGTGGGAAGCTGAAGGGGGAGGACTGCTTGAGGCCAGGAGTTCAGTACCAGCCTGGGCAAGATAGTGAGACCCTGCCTCCACAAACAGTTTTAAAAACTTAGCCAGGTATGGTGGTACGTTCCTGTAGTCCCAGCTACTAAGGAGGCTAGGGCAGGAGGATCATTTCAGCCCAAGAGTTTGAGGTTACAGTGAGCTATGCTCATCCACTGCACTCTAGCCTGGGTGACAGAGCAATACCCTATCTTAAAAATAAATCCTCTGCATAACTCCATGCAAGAGTTGTATTAAATGTTAACATTAATGTTAAATATTAAGCGTCAAACATTAATGTGTTAATCCAAACTCTTACTTGGAAGACAAAATAAAACAATTACATGACAGCAAATTTTATTCCTTTTTTTTTTTTGAGACAGAGTCTCGCTCCGTTGCTCGGGCTAGAGTGCAGTGGCATCATCATAGCTCACTGCAATCTCAGACTCCTAGGCTCAAGCAATTCTCCTGCCTCCTAAGTAGCTGGACTACAGACACATACCACCACACTCAGCTAATTTTTCTATGTTTTTTTAGAGATGGGGTCTTGCTCTTGTTCAGCCTGGTCTTGGGCAATCCTCCTGCCTTAACCTCCCACAGTGCTAGAATTACAGGTATGAACCACTGCGCCCAGCCATTTTATTCCTTTTACAATGCTCTTCCCATGCTCATATTTAAGAAGTTCAGTGAAAGATTATGGAAAAAAAAAAAACCAGTCTATGAACAGCAACGTTGTGTGGTAAAACAGCTTGGAATGGAAGACCTAGGTTTGACACCAGGTTTGTCACCTTACTAGCTGTGCAATCTTTGGTGAGCCACTCCAGCCATCTGAACTTCAGCTTCCTTATATATAAATCAGAAATAATACCACTTATATCACCAGACTATGGTGAAGATTAAATAAAATGATGGGTGTGGTAGCACTTGACTTACAAAAGATACTGGATAAAAATTAACTTCATTCCTTCCTCCAAAGTAGGGTTAGAGTTGTCTAGTTATTTTGTGGAGCTTAAAGCATGCATTTTGGGCTGTGGATAATGTTTCTCAAAGTGTGACTTGAATCAGAATCTTTCCGATTCCCTCTGGAAATCTATTTCTTTCCCAGTCGTCTTCACCTCAGTAAATGACTCCACTGTCCATCCAGTTACATAAGCCAAACCAATTCTGGGTGTTGGATTCACAAATATTTATTATTACTTTTTATTTCTTACCTGAGATGGCTTAAAAGTGGTGGTATAGTTTTCTATCTATTCCCATGGGCAATGGTTTCAGTTACTGATGGGAATATCAACTTGATTCCTTTCTCGACAACTGCTACCAACATTGTTTAAGCAGTGGCAGAGAACAGTAAGTACATTTGATATATGGGAATTTTCTCTTTTGTAACTTTTATTTGTTAAGTTCACTTTCTATAGGGTCACATTGCAACCACCCTTTTCACCTGTTTTTTTTTTTTTTATGTTTCTCTCAGCATTGAATGGGAAATGGAAGACAAAATCTAGAAGTCAGAGTGGGTGAGAAGGTTAAGAAGCCCCAACCATACCACTTCTAACCAGGTAGCCTTGCAAATTCCTTTTGAAAATTTCATTTAAATTAGTTATCCTAAAAAATGGGAATATGATAATCTCAACTACTCTACCAGGTGGTTGTAAGAAATACATGTGAATGTATGTAAAAGTGAATGAAATAAATTTACATAAATGTAACATATTATCGTTACTTAGCAATGTCCAAACTTTCAAACTCACTGTTAAAAGTTTAATTTGGTGCTCGCTTTGGCAGCACATACACTAAGAACTGGAACGATACAGAGAAGATTAGCATGGCCCCTGCGCAAGGATGACACGCAAATTCGTGAAGCGTTCCATATTTTTAAAAAATTTTTAAAAACATTTTTAAAAAAGTTTAATTTGAATTTAAACATTTGAAAAATTTATTTTCCTCCTCTAGTAATCTAGATTGTTTCTTATTAGCACTCTTTAAATCTCCAAGTAGGTATCCTAGGAAATGATGAAGTACACTACAGTTTCTTTCTGACAATTCCTGGCCACACTAGCTTTCCTCTCTATCCAGGCCCCTCCATGGTCAGCTACAAGTGCCTGCTTTCCCCTTCCCAACCTACCTCCTCTCACACACAACCAATCTCCAGCTTTCCCACTTTGACCCCCATCCCCACCACCTGTTTTCAACTGAATTCTGCCCCTCCCCCCTGCCAAATTCACATGTTGAAGTCCTAACCCCACAATGTGACTGTATTTGGAGACAGGGCTTTTAAGAGGTAATTATTAATAGTTAAGTGAGGTCATGAGGGTGGCGCCCTAATCCAACAGGACCTAGGTCCTTTTAAGCTTCGGTTCCCAAACCCCAGTACCAGTTCCTGGCCTATTAGGGACTGCAGAGATCCACCACTTCTCTGCCTACCCCAGGTCTGTGGAAAAATTGTCTTCCACGAAACTTAGGAAGGCAGGAGGGCACACAGCAGGAGGTGAGTGGCGAGTGAGTGAGCGAAGCTTCATCTGTATTTACAGCTGCTCCTCATCACTCGCATCGCCGCCTAAGCTCTGCCTCCCCAACTTTCCCCCCCACTGCCCCGTGGAAAAATTGTCTTCCATGAAACTGGTCCCCGGTGCCAAAAAGGTCTGGGACTGCAGCTTATAAGTAGAGTAAGAGACATCAGAGAACTCTCTCTCTTTCCATGCTATTTTATTTAGCTATTCCATCCTCCTTCAAGTGCAAAAATCTCAGTTTTTTATACTTATCCTCCATTCTACCCTGAAGTAATCCATTCTCACCTCTGGATTACTTAACTAGACCCCAAGTCCCAAGGGCAGGAATTGTTTAGCAAGACTCACAGCTGTAAGTCAGGTGCTTGGCAAGGCAGGCATTCATGAATATTTGTTTAATAAATTACAACTGACTCAGTAAATGTTTGAATAAAATTACAGCCCATTCAGTCGTAAAGAGATCTTTGCTCATATGTACTCTTTGTTCTATATCTCCAATCTCCTTCCACTAGCTCCTTGTTTTCACACATTTATAAACCTTCCTATTTAGAACACAACTTACTTGATACTGCTGCCCTTTCAAATGTCCTGGTGTCCTGGTTCTCTAATTCCTTTGAATAAGTGGCTGATTTTTACTAGCCTCATTTAGCACCATTCAGTCCTCTTCATTCCTTTGCAATCTGGTATCAGTTCCATGAACTATAGAGATAAATGAACCATAGTTACAGGGGCCTCCTTTTAAACCAAATGCAGTCATTCTTTCCCAGCCCTTGCCCTCCTTGGTCTCAATGGTCTGTTTTGGGCACTGCACATAATCACTTTCTTTCTTAAATTCTCTACTTTCATGGGGTTGAGGACATTGTACTCCCCTACTTCTATTTCTCAGACCACACCTTCTCTGTTTCCTTTGGGCATATTCTAAGCTTAACTTTCTGCTCAGTCCTTTTCCTCACTCAACTCGTCTTTTAGAGTTTATTTTCTTAATTTCAATGATCAACTCTTTTGTTGTTACTCCTGTGAAATCACAACTGAGTTGATTGCTTTCATTTTAAATGTAAAATCTCAAGCCTCAAATTAGCACTCAGAACTGCCCAGAAATCCCACTATGTTTCTCTAATAGGCTCATGTTCCCACTCCCTAAAATGTCTATAATAAGCTTTCTCTTTCCTGAAACTTTTTATGCCCTTCCATTCTCAGTTTTAGCTTAAGACTTTACCTCATCTGTTACTGAGAAATTAGCAACCATCAGATGGAAACTAATCTTCCCATCACCAAAGCTACAAAACCCTGCTTTTATTTGTACCTTAATTCTCTTCTGCTACAAGGAAGAGTTCATTTTCCCATCAAGTCTCCATGTATATTCTACTCCTTTCCCCTTCTTTCTCTTCTTAGTACCAACCAAACTCTTTCCTGTCTCAGGGCCTTTGCACAAGCTCTTCCCTCTGCAACATGCTACAACATTGTTGAACCTTGAAGACATTATGCTAAATGAAATAAGCCAATCACAGAAAGACAAATACTGCATGCTTCCACTTATATGAGGTATCTAAAATAATCAAAATATTAGTCAACTATTAGTCAAATTAATAGTCAAGCCAAGAATAGCGTAGTGGTTGCCAGAGACAAAAATGGGGAGTTGCTAACCAATGGGTATAAGATTTCAGTTATGTAAGAGGAATAATTCTAGAGCTCTGCTGTGTAACATTATACCTATAGATTACAATACTTTATTGTACATTTAAAACTCTTTTAAGAGGTAGATCTTATATTTAGTGTTCTTAGCACAATTTAAAAAAAAAACTATTAATGCTTTGGCAGATATCCTTTCAAATTTTTTAAATGAATATGTACAAAATTTTTTGTTTACACAATATACAGTTTTATGGCTTAGTCTTTTCACTTAATAATATCTCATATCGATAGATATAGAACAGTAATATTTTATATGGATCTATCATGATTTATTTAACCAGTCCCTAATGTTACATATTTAGGTTGTTTCCAATTTTTCACTCTGCATATGTATCTTTGGGTACTTGTCTTATTTTTTTCTTAGAATATTATTCCTAGCACTGGAACTTTTGAATGAAATTCAGAAATTAATCCTCAAAGTGTTCTGCCAATTTATATTTCCATCAACAGCTCATGAGTGTTTGTTCCCCCCTGCCTCTTACCAAAACTTTCTGATTTAATGGATTACCTGCTCAACTTATTTGTTCAAACACCAAGAAGCAACTTCCTTACCATAAAAGTGCTTCCATATTTTCTTTACTCTAGAGAGAAATCTCGGGTGCATTTACTCATATTATCAATGCATCACCTCATTCAATTCTGCAAAAAAAAAAAATCTATAAAGCATATTTGGAATTAAAACGATAAAAAAACCCAAGAAACCTTATTTTGCTCTTGTAAAACTTTATTTCAGTTTAAACAACAAAGCAAATGATATTTATGTCATCCAGGGACACTTGGGAGAGTATACTCATACCTTCATAGCTGTTTAGCTTCCAAACTCTGTATGAGAGATGAAATCTAGGTAAAAGACACTTATTATCCCAGATTACATTTACCTCACAATCTGAGATCATGAAAATTAGTCAAAAAAGATTAGAAAGAGACTTACATGAAGTCACATTCATAAAGCTGAGAAAGTGATGTCTAATACTTTGGAAAATTCTTTTCTACTTAACACTCAGAAGAATGAATTTTTAAAGATCAGAACTAGGAGGTCCATACCATAAGTTGTAGATACAATGATAGGTACTTTCATCAGTTTAATATGACTATTAGGATTCAAGATAGTATATAAAATCTAGAAGAAGGCTCAGTTAGTCAATGCCAAAAATGGAAATCTTACATTTCTTTAGAGGAAACATAAAAATATGACTATTTGGATCTTGTCTTAATTTACAATTGATGAGTCCATTTTTAATGTTTAAAAAAATGGGCTGGGTAGAATTGTTACACACCTGAAAAAGGTTTCAAATAGAATGTCCCCATTAACAATAGCAACTGAGAAATCTAATTCAGTCTGCAGATTTTATTTCTGATCAAGTAATCAACTTTTAGTTATTTCCTTGAGCCTGCCTGCTGTTTACAACATATAACTTGTCAGATTAACTATATCACTGATTTCTAAGTTCTTCTTCCATTGTATTTTTACCCTTTAACGAAGATATGCCTAGAAATAACAAGACAACACAGAAGAGCTGTAATGGCCTTCAATATTTTTCTTTTACTAATTAGTCGATCTTATTCCAGTGAAGGCTAATGTAAAATTTATCCAATAGTCTTTGATTTCAGAATTACTTATAATAGTAGAATACTGCATCATATACAGAAATCTTGATCAATAATCTACTTTATCTCATAACCAGTTATCTTTCTAAACAATTAACAAGTGTAGAATATGTAATATTGTTTAAAATAAATATACAATATATAGTTTCTACATTCTCATACAATCTTAAAAATGAGGTAATAAAAACTTAACTGATTAAACCTCTTACCATTCTGGAAATGGCTTAGGGAAATGATGGTGAAATATTTTTTTCTTAGGTCTTTTCATGTTTTCTTTGAATACATTCAAGTACTTCTTTTTCTATGTTGAAAGATTATGTAAAAAATCCTTAAGCTTTGTTGGATAGTCTGTCATCACCCCAGTTGCTCCCAAATCAAAAGCTCTTTTGTATTCTTGTTCTTCATTTAATACCCAAATATACACCTGAAAATTAGAAACATCAGAAATATGAGAAGAAATATTAAAATAGAAAATTATTTTCATAACATTTATCCAGTACAATCTTAGCACACTTAGAAATAATCTTTCAAAACTGTTATTTTAAGAAATCATTAGACCCTTTATAAAAATTCCACTTTACTCATTAAATATGCACTGCCCCACCCATCTGACATCAGCTATTCTCCTATACATAAGAGGACTCTAGCTACAGAAATGCCAATGCTTTATTGATAACTGTAAGGAAGGAGATAAGGTCCTCATCTGTGAATCAGTAAGCCAGTATCATCAGAGTCAGAAACCAAATCAAGTCAGTTAAAAGTTCCTGCTCTTAACACTTGTGTTAAACTGATAAGCTATGCTAATTCCAAAATGCACCATTCCAGAAACTTACTTGAATGCCTCGAGCAGTAAGGTGATCAAATAAAGCTTTCCTCATTAGTAAGCTAGAAAAGAAAAGCATAACAGATTGAAGAATTTATTAGTTCTAATTAAGGACTAGAATTAGTCCCGGTCCTAACTTAGTCAATTTAGAGTTTAGTAATTTCTAGTTCAATTTAATTACAATGCCTCAGCAAAACAAGCAATGGCTTTAAGTGACAATGGCTGCTGTGGATGAATTTATGTCTTAACTGCTGGATCTCCTTTCACCGATGGCTGCTAACTGGTGGACAACCAGAACGTCCTTTCTTTTCCTTGCTGCTACTAGATTCTTGGGAGACCCATTCTTGTTGACATAGCTCAATGGAGAGGAGGCTTCCCCACTTTCCCTGCTGGAGCCATATCGAGAATGAGAAAGAGCTGAGAAGTATGTGTTCCTAACTTTCCAAGTTAAAATAAGGCAGTAAATGTGGGTCAAGCTCTATAATATCACAGGTCAGTTACATAATGGATAAGTCTTTTGTAAACTATTTTAGAAACATTATGTCCATTAATTATACTATCCTATATCTAGGAAAAAAGCATTTTTTAGTTCCAAATAACTGATTTACAGTGAACTTTTAGAATATAAGCCACTTGTGCAAGATGGGAACTAATTGTACTGAAAAGTTATACATGTCATTTCTACTCTGTTTATTACAATGATTAAATAACACAAACTAGAAATACTTTAACACCAATTAAAAATGTATCCTTGAAAACTAGAAATTAAATCAGGAATAAAGCAAAAAAGAATAAACTCTGTGGCACAGAGAAAAGACAAAACTAATTTTCTAAGATTCTTTAAAAGAGGAGCTAACTAATAAAACATGATTTGGGACTATTATTTAAACATTCAAGGTTCCATTTTAAAGCAAAATACAGCACAATTACTTTGTGTTTTTTTTTTTTTAACCTAAAATTAAACTCAACATGTCTAAATCAGGCATTTTCTTTAAAGTATATGTCCGATCTGTAGGTGGCATGTCTTCCTGCTGTTAAGATTTGGTACAGATTTTTCTGAACAATGTGCCATAGGCAATATGTGCCTTTACATACATTGTATTGCCACACTCCTTTTCACCATGTTTTTGACTGAGGGCTAGTGGAAACAGCAAACAAGTAAAAGGGAATGGTTATTTATCCCAACTCTGCTACTAACTAGCTAGATAACCGCAATTAAATCATTTAACTGAGTGGATGGGGGCTCAATTTTCTCACAAAGTTGGATGAGATTATCTCTCAAGATTCCTCCTAGGTTTTGTGACTAGGAATTAAGCTAGTTCTAAATGATTGATACCTATCCATTTGCATAGTAGGTGCTCAATGTGTCCTTGTTACAAATTACATGTGGAAAGCTTGCACTAAATTTTAAGTATAGTACTTAATAAATATAGCTCAAGCAATAAATGCATATTAAGAAACTAAAATTCTTACATATCAGAGAGCCAGATGAGAAACTTTTGACTTCTAGACATGGTGTGTGGTTCTTTTAGCCTAGGGTAAAATAAAGTTTGAATTACTAATTAGAAACACAGCAAAATATCAGTGTGAGAAAATAAAACAAGTTCAAAAATGAGAACAGTGCCTGTACTAGCATGCTCTCAAAAAAATATTTGTAAAAGGGCAAAAGTAAAATACAGCACAATTGGGTTCTATTTCCACTGGTCTCAAGCCAACTTTTTGCTATCGCTATTCAAAGGTAAAAAAGATAAATAGCAGTTATGTTTTCAGAGACCCTAGTGTCCTAGGCTCATGTCTCTTCTCTCTTTTGGTAAAAACTCTTTCTCCTGCTTTGTCTGCTATAATTTAGTACATGGTAGATTTAAACACATAACCAAACTGTACTATGGAGTAAAAGATATTTTGGGACAAAAGTGAGACATTTAAAGCATATTTTTCTTTCCTTTGAAATACTAGTAGACCTGGACCCTGTCCTTTTAAATTATCTTTACTACTAAAAAAAGTTTCTTTGACTTTTCAGGCCTCTGCTGAGTTGCTTCTTCCAATCTCTTTGATGCCTAGAGCAGCACAACTACCTGTGTCATCAACTTTGGGTTGTGCCCACAGGAAATCCTTGATTTGTCTTCTACTATGAAGATTTCTCAGCTTCTTTTTAAGTTTATCAGTACACAGTGATTTTCATTCTCCTCACATCTTCATTTCTTATTTCCTTTTTAACTCCTCCTGTCTAATTCTTAAAATAATTCTGAGAGTCCCCACACTTAAATTCATTTTTTTCTTTCTCTCTGAATTCAGTTCTTATTAGAAGCTCTCTAAATAAAACACAGGTCCTTTTTCCCTCTAACTCTGGCCCAGATGGAAAGTCCTGGTGCAATTTCAGAAATCTCAGGGATTTAGTACCTGAAATACTAATTATCTTATTAAAGAATTACTATATTGCCTTACAAAGTATCCATTGTCTCCCACAGAAATATTAAAATACACAAAAAAATTCCACCTGTGTCTTAAACCATAATCACTTTTTAGAGAAAAGATTAATTCTATGCAGTTTGTTCTTATGTCTGTATTTCAGTATTTGCTTCTAAAGCACATGAAGATAATCTAGAGCACACAATAGTCTATTCCAGGCCAAAGGAAAGCTAAGTACTTTAGGAATAAATGTTTGAGAATCATTTTAATCTAGCAAATGAAAATCATTTCTTTATAGACAAGTGTTTTCTGCTGTTTTATCTGGGAAACACCTATAATGACTGTTAATAAATATAATTAGGAATAGATAAAATAAATATGCTCATCACTAAAAACTCAAATTGGAAAACAGGCATGAAATAGAAACTGAGCACGAGTACTGACCAAATTGTTTTTCTGACCAATATCGTCTAATGACTGCTGTAATTTATGTTCTGCTTGATTTTTTTTCCCAAGTCATTAGCTTTATTGAGACATGCTACAGCAGAGGAAAGCTTTTCAGCTTGATTTTTAAAACTTCTATTTTGGGTATGAAAAATGTTTTCATGCAAGGTAAATCACATTTAAATGATCTCAGGAACTTCAAATTCCTTTGTCAGGACTCAGTCATTATTATGATTCTTAGCCAGAAATCACATTCTAAGTGTGTAGGATTTTGAGATGAAGCTATCTTTCTTTAATAATAATAATTTAACAATTAAAGCTATCCCTTATTGAATGCTTATTATTTGCCAGGCAATCTAAGTGTTTTATACATTTTTATCTTTCTACTAAATTGAGTGAAATGCAAGGCTTTGTACCTAGTAGAAGAATTACATAAATATAGAAGTATTTTATATAAACTAACAGCTACCCTTTTCTTTCTCCTATCTCCAGGGGTTTTTGAGGCAGTGGTGGTGGTGGTTTTTCTTCATAAGTGTATTACAGTAATACTACTTGAGAATCTGGAGTTTAATAGAATTTCAGCTGCATATAGTCGTCAGTGAAGTAGAAAGAAGTAACGGAAGTTGAAGGGCAATTGCTATTTGATGTCAGAATAAAAGAATTATTAACCTTCTGTAATTAAGTTCAATTTTTTTGAGATGGGGGTCTAACTATATTGCCCAGGCTGGTCTCAAACTCCTGGCCTCAAGCAGTTTTCCCACCTCAGCCTCCTGAGTAGCTGGGGTTGCAGGTGTATGTCACAACGCCACACTCAAGCTCAATTATTTTTACCTGACTTCTGACTACACAGGCACAGAAAATCATTACAACCTGAGACGGGTCTAGATTAAGTACAGATAATCCTTTATTATTCATTTTGGAGAATGTGTCTTAATTATATCAAAAAGCATTGTTAATGTAGGTCAGATAATAAAACATGGAAATAACTACAGAAATCTCTTCCTTCTCATTTATGTTGATATTAATGAGCCTATATCTTAGTCCTCCCATAATTGATAATTGATCAAAATAGGATAACCACTTACTTCAATATGATAGAAGGCATTGGAATTTCAAAAAACTGTTCTCGAATGGGCACAAAAGGCAAGAGGCCAGTGAAGAAAAGGCCAAGAATGAGCAGAACACGTTGTAGACTGAAGAGTATAGGAATATCTGAATTCTAAAAGACACAAACAATATTACATGTTACTTTACAACTGCTCAAATGAAGATGATTATTTCACAATGCTCAAATTTTGCCAAGACTATATCTTGACATCTATTATAAGCATTCCCTGAATTATCAATATCCATTGAGAAACACACCACACTTAAAAATGGCTAGTTCTTGACAAATGGGTCAAGATCTACCTTGGAGTCTTATAGTGTAATTAATCGATGTTACTAAAGCTTCTCTATTCCCTTCTCTCTGCTTTTGCAACACTGCTTCTGTCTGTTGGTTATAGTATTTACAATTAGAAACTAAACATACCAGAATAATGGAACGAAATGAAGAAATGAATATATAAGATATTCGGTAACCTTACTTTTGTTTTAAAAATATATAGCTATACATATGTGTATCCATAGATATATATATCAAGACTATTGCAAATATATTATCTTTCAGCTAAGTTAAGAATCAGATATAAAATATAAATAAGATTTTAGGCCAGGAGCAGTGGCTCAAGTCTGTAATCCCAACACTTTGGAAGGTTAAGGCAGGAGGATCACTTGAGCCCAGGAGTTCGAGGTTGCAGCGAGCTATGATTGCACCACTGTACTTCAGCCTGGGTGACAGAGCGAGATCTTGTCTCCGAATTTGAAAAAAAAAGGATTTTGTAAGCTAGTCCAAGAATCTAACCACCATTTTAAGTTTCTATTGGAAAATGTACTCAAGGTCCCAAAACTTAAAATGCAAACTGTATATATTATATATATTTTTAATTGTGCTAAAATACACATAACATAATTTATCACCTGAATGATTTTTAAGTGTATAATTCAGTGGTTTTAAGTATATTCACATTGTTGTGTAAAGAGCCTCCAGAAGTCTTTTCATCTTGCAAAGCTGAAACTCCATACCATTGAACAACTTCCCATTCCCCCCTTCCTCTTCCCTCTCCTACATTTAAAAAAAAAACCAAAAATTATGGTTAAATTGAATTTTTCTATAAAAAGTAATATATTAAAAATCATGCGAAGAGTAATTTATTTTAAATAATTAGCTATAAATTACCTACTTTTTATTTTAAAAAAACAGTAAATAAGTTTGAGAATTTATTTTGCCCCTTTGTTTACATGGTGCTTTGTAATGTCTTTGGCTTATTTGTATACAGGTTTTTCAGCTGTAACACGATATACTAGTCCCTGAAAAACCTTGAGTTGTGCAAATTCATACACTAAGGATAACAGAGCTTATGAGAAAAACAGGGTTGGGGCTGACTCTCAAAACTTATGCAACTTTGGAACCAGACAACTAAAAACAATAATTGGTACTTCTGGAGAGCCATGCAAGGCTGCCGGTGAGAGGTGGAGGGACAGCATGCTGGCAAATGTTTAACAACTAGCTGTACCCCATCTTTTTTTTTGGAGATACAGGGTCTCACACCATGTTGCCCAGGATGACTTGAACTCCTAGGATCAAGAGATCCTCCTACTCAGCCTCCCGAGTAGCTGGAACTACAGGTACATGCCACCACACCCGGCTTATAACACATATTTTTTAAATCAGAATTTTGGATGGGATTTGAATTATGTTTACTGTTCAGGAAATTCTAATCTACAGCCAAGCTTCAGTAAGAAGAAGTGCTACATTTTCCCATCACCAATGTGTGTCCCGGATTCCTTTTATTTTTATATTTTGAGTTTCTAGCATCCGGCAATTAAAGGGCAAATGTGAAATTCTTATAAATCATGCTTAAAGAATTGCAAAAAATGTATCACTTAATTATACAGCATGTTGGTAATTTGAACAACAAATTTTATTGAGACATTTTTACCAAGATGTTTGAAAACTGCTGCTGCAAGGTTTTTGGAGTTTTTAAATTCTAAAATTACAAAGCCAGAGGTTTCTGGAAAAATATGCAAATCAAGGGAAAGTTCTGTGATTGTGGGCCAAAAGGGAGATTTTATTTTGAAATAATTATAGACTCAAAGAAAGTTGCAAAAATAGTAGAGTCCAATGTACCCTTCACCCAGCTTCCCCGAAATGTGATATCTTATGTAACTGTAGCACAGTATCAAAACCAGGAATTGACATCGGTACATTACTATTAATTAGACTACAGATCTTCTTCAGTTTTCATCATTTTTTAAAACTGCATTCATTTATGTGTGTGTGTGTGTGTGTGTGTGTGTGTGTGTGTGTAGTTCTATGCAATTTTAACCCACATATAGATTACCACAAACAAGATACAGAACTGTTTCATCACCACACAACTCCCTCGTGCTATCTTTTTATATTTGTTCCCACTCTGTACCACAACCTAAATCTCTGTCCCCTGGCAGCCACAAATCTGCTCTCCACGTCTATACTTTTGAGAATGTTACATAAATGGAATCATATAGTATGCAACAGTTTGAGGTTGAATTTTTTTCACTAAGCATAATGCCTCTGAGGACCATCCAGGTTGTTGCATGTATCATAGTTCATTCCATTTTGTGCTGAATAGTATTCCATGGTGTGGAGATGCCCGAGTTTGTTCAGCTGTTTATTTATTGAAGGACGTTTGGGTTGTTTGCAGGATGTTGCTTTTATGAATAAAGTTACTATAAACATTCATGTACAGGTCTTTGTGTACATAAGTTTTCATTTTTCTGGAATAAATGCCCAAGATGAGATTGCTGGCTCATATGGTACGTGTATGTTTAGTTTTATAAGAAACTACCCAACTATTTAAGAGCGTGGCTGTAGTATTTACGTTTCTACCAGCAGTCTAGAAGAGATCTAGTTTCTCTGCATCCTTTCTACCAGCATTTGCTATTATCACTATTTTTTATTTGAAAATTTTTTTGATGATGTAAAAAGATCAGCAGGCCTCAAGTACATTACCTCCCTTGCAATAACATCTGAAAATACCATCAGACAATGATTATTTATGGAAAAGTCTTAGTTTTAAGTATTTAGGAATCTAAAGCCACTCAGCCCAGTAATTGCTCTGTTCTCTCCTTTATACACAAGCTGCCTTAGGATCACACAGACCCCACTACACATAAAACTTTCTGGCCTCAATTGTATTTTGAATTGTAATGGTGCTGACTTTGCATGTTTTTGTCTTCTCTGCTAGCAAGGAAGGCCCTCCCAAGGAGTGCTTTGTATTTGAGAATTGCTACTTACATCATATTTCTTCTGCACTATCACTTGCATTCTAAAAAGTCTTCAGTGCTCAAGATTTTTAAAAATTTTAATTTCAAACTCTCTTAGCTGACTATATCTAAACTTGCTTATGAAGGTTTAGAATATCATTTCAAAATATATCAAATTAATTTTTTATAGACATATTTTCTTCAACCAGAAAATTTTCAGTGGGTAGATGGCCCTGCTTTTATATACTACCTGATAATCATTACCTTGGCTTAATTTGATTAAGTCTGTTTGTGGGGTAGGTTAAAAAGAAGCTAAAGCTAAATAGTTGAAGGACTGAATACTTTCTTTAATTCAAAATTACACAAAAAATTACAATTACCCAACAAAAGACAGTCATTAAAAGATAGGAATCATATTTTGTCCTATAATGCACATGATAAAATATTGGTGAACAATTAATATTAGTATGTGAAAATAATAATTCTGTGAACTAGTACAACTACATTGAACTTAAATTGCAAGGTCCAAATCTATTACCACTGCTATATTAATAATAGTAAACTTCTGGCTAGTTGCTTCCACCCAGTACCATCTGTCTCTGTATGAAGGCTATCACATAAGAAAATTTTAAAAAATTATTGTTGTAAGAAACTTATCATTTATAGAAACACAAGAACAACAAAGAGAGATAATTCTGTACAATTTTTGAAGCTTACCTCTTTGTAGCACTTTTCTACAATTTCATAACTGGCATTACCCCACACTGTTATGTGTTCTCGTTTATACTGCTTCACCAACTCTGAAACCTACATGTGAAAATTCAAAATTTTATGCATGTGCCTATTTGTAAATCCACTAACAACATTTCACTTAAAAATTGATTATGATTGACTATCTGCCAATGTATGGTAGAAAATTTTAGAAGGACCAATATACAAATTCAGACTATTTTAAAAAATACAAAAATTATTTATATTTTACCATTATATAATTTGTTTAATAGAATACAATGATTTAGTAATTTGACATAAACTAACCACAAATGAAACAAGCTAAACTAGAAGTTAATTATATAAACACCAGAATGATTGGCTCATAGGAGCTTACTTTTATCCATGACTGAGACATGCCAACTCCATCTGAAAATAGGCTCTCCTACAGTAAAGTGATCTCTTCTATCAGGGCATTATTTAAAACAATGCTGATGCCTAGAGTATCACATTTCCTTGACCACTACCAATCTATGCAGTCACCTACTCTAACCTTATTTAGTTTGTGAAATCGGATGCAACACCCCCAGAGGAGGTAATGCCTTGAGTACCTTCTTAATCAGCACATTGTTGTTGACTTTGATATCGATGTTAATGGGAGTGTTAGGAAAGGCCTCAAAAACTTCCTTCAGTAATGGAATTCGGTTATCTTTTCCTTCACATTGGCATGCTGAGAAAGCAAGATTTTTAAATGCATTTTTAAAAGATAATTTTACTTTTTTGATGATTAGAAAAGTTATAGTACGGTATTCATCAAAAGATATTTACAAAGTAAGGAAAAGTATAAAGAAGAAAAAAAATCATGTAAAATCCAACAACTTAGATATAATCATTAGGACCATTTGTTGTACTTTCTCTACTCTTTTTTCCTATGCATAAATCAATATAGTAATGATATAGTGTGCCTACAGATTTTAACATAATCTTTTTACATAAAAACAAATATTTTCATATTGGCATACTGTATTTATAATTTTGATTTGAATTTTATTAACTAATTCTTTAAATTTTGAGATAACTATAGATTCACAGCAGTTGTAAGAAATAATACAGAGAGATATATGCACACTTTATCCAGATTTCCCAATAGTAAACCTCTTGCAAAACTACACTACATGCCCTCTTGTTACCATAGGGGGGGTCCATCGGTTTGTTGTCTATGGTAAATGTATCTATCTTGCTTTTGCTGTGTGAACCTATATCTCGCTCTTACTCTGTACACCTATGTTGTTCTTCCTCAATAAACTTCGTTTCACATTTGCCTCGCTTTTGGTGTGTCTGGTCATTCTTCAGCCAAGAGCACACCAAGACCTGAGAACAGAACAGACTACGACTACAACCTGACACAATTTGTTTACATATATTCAAGTTTGGGTTGTTTCCTATTTTTTTTTTTTTTTTTTT